TACAGCCCACACCTCCCAGTGAAACACCCCTTTCCATCAGTGTAAAGTAGTTAAACTGCACATTTAATCCCCGAGTTATCTAAATAGAACAAAAAAGAGGTGCACTTGCAACAGAACGGCTCGTTTTTTTTACATGATAAAGAAATGTTGCTGTAGTTAATGAAATACATCTGTTAGCACGACTCTTTAGGCTTAAATTGTAAGAAATAAATGTTAAAGCTAGCTTGTTGTCAAGACAACCCTGTAATTTTAAAACAAAACATTTTGGTAATTCACAGAAAATTTCTTATTAGATTTATTTATTTTACTGTGAACACATTTTTAAAAAAATTCTATTGTAGATAGTGAAAAAACAGGAACTTTTCTGCAATTTCATTCATTTATGTGCTCCTTTAAATTTTCCAAAAACATCCAGTGGACTGGATTCGAGTATTTTCCGGGATACTTCTAGCCTCCAGGCCTAAGGCTTGCTACCCCTGATCTAAGGTATGTGAGGAAGGGTTTAAAAAGGATGAGACCAGTGTCCTGTCAAACCTAAATTACAATATTTAGATGTTTGAAAATAACTTGTTGGATTATAATCTGTAAACATATTTTAACATATAATAATCCCCGTAATGACATCTATAAAAGCAACACTAAATGATTTTACTGAGAGTTTTAAACCTGCACTTACCTTTCCCCCTTTCTTCTGTGTGGGATTGTTGGTCTTAGTGTTCATTGGGGTCTCCTGCCACCTGCGATAGATAAGATTAAGGCAGCTTCACATAAATCCTGGCAACAGACAACCTGAACTTTCCCAAAACACTTATTTAATGTTGTTGTTTTATTTGGTTACAAAGATAAAGATACTACCTTTCTTTTTCATATTACTAGTTTCACAACAGCTGCATTGATATTATATTTTACTTGTAAGAGAGCTTGTGAAATAAACCCAACAGCACACAGCCAGTGATGACTGCTGCTGGTCAAAATGATAACCTGCGCAGATACTTTTATTCATGAAAACATAACGATGAGGCTCACATGCCAAGTAAACAGCAAACATCAAACTAGGTTTGATTCATGAAAGACTATGAGGTTAACAAGCATAACGATGTAACAATCTGCTAAAGTTTTTACTTTAACTGAGAAAAAAAGCCAAAAATTAGAAGAACTGTTGTATAAGGTACATTTAGTTTATACCTGTCTTCATATCGACTTGTTTTAATGTAATAAATAAGTAAATAGGTACCTACCTTGGCTTCTTGGACATCATTTTCAGTCATACAAGGTTAACACCCTGACAGAGACTAACTAAACGCAAGAACTTTTGGCTCACATTGTGATCTGTCTGGTAGATGTGAGCTCTGTTTTACTCTGGCAAGATCACGAGAGAGAGAGAGAGAGAGAGAGAGCAAATCACATACAGGTCTGTACCACAGAGTCCCAGAGAAACACATCACATGCACACGCACACGTAATCCCACAGCGAGTTGGCAAACTCCATTAGAGTTTTGCAGGATTAGGTCAACAGCTTAACTGGATTACTACACAGTAATTTTAGTGAAGTTAATGTAGACTTACATTGTACTTATAGCCTACTCCTGATGTCTGTCAAGTATTCCTCTCACATAGGCACAAGTGTATAGTGGAGAAAAACACACAAGCTCAGTTTGTGTCCTGGGTTATCGTCCGCTGACTGTACGCTTGATGTGCTGAAGACGCGCCTGCCACTGCGAATCCCTGAGCTGTGACCTGACCTGAGCTATCAAAAGCAATTTCTCAGACACAAACACCTGTCTGGATAAAATCCCTTCTTGTGTGCAAATGTGCCATTTCCCTCTTTAAGACAAATTCTATATCTGTTAAACATATTTTAAAATATCACACCATGAAATGAAAGCTAAAGTGCCATAAATAAGTTGTACGGGGGGAAAGGTGTAACTGTGATACAGTTATAATAATAATAATAATAATATCTTTATTTGCACGGCACTTTTTTAAAAACAGCTCGCGCTTCACAGTTTGCATGAAATCACACATTTAGGATGAGTGTACAAACAGATTGTGAAACACAAGCTCTTACATTAATTCCTACATGCACACTTTAGAGTTTCAGCAGCTGTTTAACACAAATCACAGATGCAGCTATACTGTGCACACACACACACACACACACACACACAAAAAAGTATTTAGTCAGCTGCCGATTGTGCAAGTTCCCCCACCTAAAATGATGACAGAGGTCAGTAATTTGCACCAGAGGTACACTTCAACTGTGAGAGACAGAATGTGGGGAAAAAAATAAATAAATCCATGAATCCACATGGTAGGATTTGTAAAGAATTTATTCGTAAATCAGGGTGGAAAATAAGTATTTGGTCAATAACAAAAAT